GCCAGCAGCTCAACCCCCAGCCTGCACTGGTGCATGGGGTTATTCCTCCCTTCGTGCAGGACTCTACACTTGCCCTTGTGGAACTTCATTAGGTTCCTCTCTGCCCAACTCTCCAGGCCTGTCCAGGTCTCCCCGAATGGCAGCGCAGCCTTCTGGTGTATCAGCCACTCCTCCCAGTTTTGTATCACCAGCGAACTTGCTGAGGGGACACTCCGTCCCTTCATCCAGGTCATTGATAGATAAATTAAACAAATCCGAACCCAGAACTGACCCCTGGGGAACACTGCTAGCCACAGGCCTCCCACTAGACTCTGCGCTGCTGATCACAACGCTCTGACCTCTACCATTCAGCCAGTTCTCAATCCACTCCACTGTCCACTCATCTAACCCACACTTCTTGAGCTTACCTATGAGGATGTTATGGGAGACACTGTCAAAAGCCTTGCTGAAGTCAAGGTAGACAATGTACACTGCTCTCCCCTCATCTACCCAGCCAGTCTTGCCATCATAGGCAGTTATCAGATTGGTCAAGCATGACACCTCCTCGGAGAATCCATGTTGACTACTCCTGATAACCTTCTTTTCCTCCAGCTGCTTAGAGATGACCTCCAGAATGAGCTGTTCCATCACTTTTCCAGGGATGGAGGTGAGGCTGACTGGCCTGTAGTTTCCTGGGTCCCCCTTCTTGCCCTTTTTAAAGACTGGAGTGACACCGTCTTTCCTCCAGTCCTGGGCAACTCTGTTCTCCACGACCTTTCAATGATGGAGAGTGGCTCAGCAATAACATCTGCCAGCTCCCTCAGCACTCGCAGGTGCCTCTCATCAGGGCCCATGGATTTGTGGGTGTCCAGTTTGCCTAAATGATCTCTAACCCAATCCTCTTTCGCCAAGGGTAAGTCTTCCTTTCTCCAAGCTTATTCTCTTACGTCCAGGGTCTGGCATTCTTGAGGGCCTGCATTAGCAGTAAAGACTGAAGCAAAGAAAGCATTCAGTAACTCCACCTTCTCTGTATCCTCCGTCACCAGGGTATGCACCTCTTTCAACAGCAGGCCCACATTTCCCCTAGTCTTCCTTTTGCTACTGATGTACTTGAAGAAGCCCTTCTTGTTGTCCTTGACATCCCTTGCCAGATTTAATTCCAAGTGGACCTCAGCCTTCCTCGTTGCACCCCTGTATACTCTGACAGCATTCCTATTTCCTCCCAAGCGGTCTGTCCCTTTTTCCACATTCCATAAACTTCCTTCTTCCATCTGAGTTTTGCCAGAAGCTCCTTGCTCATCCATGCAGGTCTCCTGCCCGCTTTGCTTGATTTCTTACTCATACGGATCCACTGATCTTGAGTTTGGAGGAAGTGGTGCTTGAATATTAATCAGATCTCTTAGACACCCTTACCTTCTAGAGTCCTAACCCACTGGATCCCTCCAAGAAGGTCATTGAAAAGACCAAAGTTAGCTCTCCTGAAGTCCAGAGTTGTAATCCTACTTATTGCTCTGCTCCTTTCAGGCAGGATCCTGAACTCCGCCATCTTGTGATCACTGTAGCCAAGGCTGCCCCGAACCTTCACATCCTGAACCAGTCCTTCTTTCTTTGATAGTACAAGGTCCAGCAGAGCACATCTCCTCGTTGGCTCCTCCAGGACCTGTGTCGAAGAGTTGTCATCAATGCTCTGCAGGAAGCTCTTGGACTCTGTGTGCCTAGCTGTGTTGTCTTTCCAGCAGATATCAGGGTGGCTGAAGTCCCCCATGAGAACCACGGCCTGTGATCGTGAGGCTACTTTCAGCTAACTGTAGAAGGCCTCATCGACTTCCTCATCCTGACCAGGTGGCCTGTAGTAAACACCCACTACAGTGTCACCCATATTAACCTGCCCCTTAATTCTTACCCATAAGGTCTCAATTTGTTCTTCATCCACCCCTAGGCAGAGGCAATACATTCCAGATGCTCCCTTACATAGAGAGCGACTCTACCACCTCACCTTGCTGGCCTGTCCTTCCTAAAAATTATGTAGCCATCCATGACAACATTCTAGTCATACGAGCTATCCCTCCATGTCTCTGTAATTGCAATGAGATCGCGGCCCTCTGACGTCATACAGTTCTCTAATTCTTCCTGTTTATTCCCCAGGCTGCGTGTATTGGTGTACAGGCATTTCAGAGAGGTAATCAAGCATGGAGGTTTCCCAGGAGGGGTGCAAGAGGATCCACCATAGCCATATACACCCTTGAGGTGGCTGGCCTTCTAGTTCTCATCTTAGGAGGCAGCTAAGGAACATTTGTCACTGTTCTGGTTGGCCTGGCTTATTCCCCAACTGGATGTGATGGCGTGAGCACTGCCACTTTGGACCCCGTCCCCCGAGTCCTTAGTTTAAAGCCCACCTCACCAAGCTGGCCACCCTGATGCCAAAAATTCCCTTGCCTCTTCTAGACAGGTGGATTCTGTTCCTCTCTAACAGGTTATAGTCATCAAAGAATGTCCCATTGTCAGAAAAGCCAAAACCCTCACGACAGCACCAGCCACAAAGCCAAAAGTTGATTTGCATTATATGTCTATTTCTAGATGCCCCCTTTCCTCCAACTGGTAAAATGAAAGAAAAGATAACTTGGGCACCAATACTTTTCACTTGCACTCCCAGGGCTTTATAGTCTTCCTTGATTCTGTCCAGGTTCTGGCTTGCAGTGTCATTCGTGCCCACATGAAAGAGTAGCAGTGGACACTAGTCTGTGCTCTTGACAAGCTGTGCCACCCTCTCGGCAATGGCTTGGACTCGAGCTCCGGGAAGGCAGCACACCTCACGTGACTCCCTGTCCGGTCGGCACACAGGCACCTCAGTGCCCCTTAACAGAGAGTCACCCACTACAAGCACTTGTTTCTTTTTATGGTATCCACTGTGTGCTGTTGGTACAGTTTCTCCTTGCAGACCTTGCTCATGGGTGTCTACAGCTATTAAAGCTTCATATATGGTTTCGGTTGTGATGTTGGAGGGTGGGGACTGAAGCAGAGTCCTGCTTTTGTGGGTCACAAAGGCCCAAGGTGCCTCATTCTCAGTGGTGTCTGCTACAGGACCATGGTTCTGAAAGCAAGTATCTATCTCCACCTCAGGTCCTCTAATGCTGCATAGCTTTTTAACTGTTTCCTGCAACTCAGCCACCTCATGCAACAGATCATCAACCTGTGCACACCTTATGCAGCTACTTACCTTTTCTTCAAGAGAAGGGTCTGGGCACTTGTTGCAACCTACCGCCTGTACTCAGAAAGGCTTCCATTAGCATGTAAAATCTGTAGTATGATAGAAATTTATTAATTAAAATCCATTTATGAAAGATGTAATGTTTTCTGGCAATAAGAAGTTATGCTTCTATTCAGCTAACCTCCTCCAACAAAATTATCAGTGAAATATTTTATGATTCTAAAATTAAAAAGCTTTAGATTCTGTAAAGTTAAAAAGGACATAGATTGCAAGCAAATGAGCCTGGGAATATTTATGCATTAGTATCTCCATGAAGTAAGAGCCACTAAAATAAACTTTAGGCACCTGTACTTTTTTGCAAGGTACAGAATGGTCTGATAAACGGATGCTTGCTCAGACACTAATGCTGGTTTTCAGTTTGTGTTCACTTTCACTACTTTCTCACCACTACAGCCTGAAAAGATACAAGGTGCAATTTGGCTGCTGGCAAAGTCAACAATAAAATACACATCAATATTAATGGGACTACTGCATGATCCTCAGATGACAGAAAATTTGTAGCCACGACAAGACATTAAGAATTTATGTCCTCCTGTGACTGACTGAATCAACCTTTAACGTAGTGAATACTGGCCATCGCTAATGAACAGCGTTAAACAGTGCTCTGGGGACTTTGATTTGTACAAGGCTCCCTTCCTTCTCCACTTGACTGTACATGACATCTGAGCTATTTCAACACAAAGGTTCTGAAAATGCATTTTCTAAATCAAAAATGTTTTTATTTGTTCAAAGTATGATCTCCACTTCATCTAGCTGTCTGGTTTTGGTTTTGTCAGAGCTAGTGGAAAAGAGAAGTGTTGCATGCTAGTTTTACCTCATGTTTCACTTCTTCCACTGAACGCTTATAGTGGTGTTACTGGGGTATGAGAGTACATAGTTTCCTGTCTCCTTTTGAAGTTGTTCTGTGATGCACTGGTGTGAATTGCTGCAATGCAAAATGGGATGCATTTCCTCTGTACCCCGACAGTGGGGCTACTCAGTTCATATTTACTCAGATTCCACCTCCACTGGGCAGGAACAAAGATACCAACTCCATCTCTCCCAGGCTTGCCCAACACTGCAGCACTTCATAGAAGGATGCTACAGCTACTACCTGGGGCACAGCATGGAGAACAGCAGAAGCAGAAGATATTTTGCGAGAGCAATGCAGAAACCCATATATCTGGTACTTCGGTGATGTCCAGGCAAAATGTACTCAGCTCACAGTTGGACTGCAGTCTGCCATTTTAGCTGCCCTGTTCCAAGTTAGTCACCTGGATTATAACCAAGCCTGGAACCACCCTCCAGTTTACCTGCCCTGCCTCATCCCCCTCTGTTTTCCATACTAGCTATTACCTTTACAGGAGGTTTATAAAATTCAATTCTTTGGACCCTTATATAATTGACAGAAGTCCAGGGACCCAACTCTTCATAGAGGTGGAGGATATAAAAGCCATGCTTGGATTTTTCTATACTGTAAACCTAAAAACATCAGAAAAAAAAAAGTGAAACCTCTTGCCTTTCAAAATAACTGCCTAATCTTTCTTCAACTATGCTCACTTCTAACACATCATTGCTACTCTTTCAGACCTCAGGATAAAAAAATCAGGTACACTGGTGAAACTGGAGTGCTGCTGGAGTTGGTAAGTGGCAAAACATTACCTAGAATGTGAAGCAAATGTGAGCTTTATGTTGAGCATGAATTTTTGTCTTCAGCCATATAATCTTCTAATAATTTCCATCCAATTTACAGCTAGCTCGGCTTAGAAAACTCAAAAGTACTGATTTCAGTTCAAGGCTAAAGACAAGAGACATTTTTTGCCAATTACTTTGTTCGGCATAAATAATTAACTCTAGAAAACAATTATTTTTTACCCAGGACTTTTTAGCAACACAGAGAAATGTAGTCCTTTCAAAGCTTGTTACTTACTTCATAATCTGTGGCAAAAGGAATTAAAGGAGTATGTCAGTGACTGTCTAACCTACCCTGAGAACTGGAAGCTGGATAATGCACAGCAGAAGCAATTCACTCATTTTCCAAGAGGACTTGGCTGGCTTGGCACCAGTCCAGAAAGTATTGCGCATGCATCCTCAGCAGAATATCTGTTTTTCTCCCAGATAAGTTTCCAATTCAACAAAGCATATTTTAAGTGCATTCTGGATTGGAGTCACTGTATTTAAGTATATGCTAATGTAGAAATGTAGAAATCAACTAGACTAAGTCATTATACATTTAGAAAGTGGAAGAGGGGTACAACTGAGTAACATTTATATGTATAAGATGGCTTGATTCAAAAGTTGCTAAGAGAAAAAACAAGAAGAAAAAATCAAATGAGGAGAGAAAAAAAACCTGTAAAGATCTGAGAAACATCTCCTTTGTTGAATTAAGCTTTTCATTTAAAATTAATGACGCATTAGGGGAAAAATACAAATTATCACAGCAAAACCCCATTTCCTATATAAGAAAAACAAGAAGCTACATTTTCCATAAGGTTTCCACCTTTATGTGCTCATACAGAGAAAGCCAAATTTACACATGTAAACAGTTCTCGCAAGCACTGATTGCTCAGCCAGTAATTTAATTAGTGGGCTGGTTTGCACAAAATTACAGGTACAAATTCATACACCATTTTGGAAAATTTGGCGCAGTGGAATTTTGTGCCTGTCTGCAGTTGCAAGCCCTGTGGAAGAAGAATGAGAAACGGGAGACAAATACATGTCCCCTTACAGTTTCGTCGTCCCTTTACACGCCACGCCACGCCACGCCACGCCACCAGAGGCTTAGTGTGTTCTCAGCTATAGCCGACCACCAGTTTTAACGTCATTGCATTTAAGAGCTAACTTTAATAAGCACAGTTGAGAAAGCAATGCAAGAGGTCTTGAAGGGATGAGCCAGGGCTATGAAGTTTGCATGCTTTTGATTCATTCCAGCCAGAAGCTGAGAAGCAGAGATGGGAAATATGGGAGGGAAATAAAGATGAGGGGGAGAGAAGGGAGAATCAGAACAAAGGGATGAGGAAAAAAGAACAACACTGAAGAGACAGATTAAAAACAGACGAGGATCCTCATCATGTGAAATCTAATTTATATCACTGTTTCAGAATGAGGCAATCTAACTAGGGCAACCAGCAGTGAAACAAAGAAAAGGAGTATGTAGTAAATATTTTATTACATTAATCATAATAAGCTGCACTTTAAGTCTTGGCCAAAGATTATTCTTAAATCAAGCTGAGAATGTGAGCAGTTTCAGACTTAAGAGCATGAGGCCCACATGACTGTAATTAACATAATAAATCATGGTGCAGAGCTCTCTACACAGGCTGACAGCGCTTAGCTGATACATTGCTTATTGGAGACTGCAGACATTTCTCCCTCTATTTCATTAAAGTACCATTGGTAGTGAATCAAAAGGTACCCTTTTCTGTCTGGTCTGTATCTACTGCAGGTGTAACAGGAAATGTGTTGGGAGCTAATGCATTGATTTCTGATAACACAGATTGCAACACATGCATCCCAAAGAACTGCATTTCAGTACCTTTTTTCCCAAGCCCATCTTTAATTTAGCAAAGTACTGAAATTGCCTTGTTACTGAGCTTGCAGTTTTATTTCTGAAATTCTCTGTCGGTGACTTGGCCCAACCAGACCAATTTGCTTTTACCTTTCCACACTGTATATTCTCCAGTATGAGTGAAGCAAACTACGAGGCACACAAACTCTATGAATAGCTCACAATTTACAACCTTGCCTAACTAGTTTCAATGCACACTTTTAACACACATATTTCCTTTGTCTTCACTGGGTCAGAGAGCAGAATTTAAGGACTAGCTCTTTACAAAATTCTCCAGAGAGGATGAAGTGCCATATTTAAAGTGAAACAGCTCCTAAGGTGGATTTTTCAGCCTGCTTTTCTGTTTTGAGCCTGTGCTGAGAGTCCACTCCTCCTTGCACTTCAGAAAAAATGATGACTTTGAACTTCACTTTAACCTCTGAAAACACAACTCTCACCATTATTAGGAAGGGGTGGAAGATCAAAGATGTGAAGCTACTACAAGTTTGGGGGAGACTCAACAGCTGGGCAGAGGGCAGAGACATGAATACATCCCAACTTGCAGAAAGACCACAGATCTCAGGTGTTAGATACTCTGCCAGGCAGCTGCTCACACACCCTGGCTGACCAAAGCACACTCTTTGTTCCAGACTAGCCACAGCACATCCAGGCATTTGCCAGGACACGGAGTCCCAAGAGGCACAGGAGCAGATGGGAATTCTGCACAGAGAGGAGACAAAGAGATATGGAACGTGCATTCGTCAGGAACGAATGTTCTGCCTGTTGTTCATGGCACAACTTGTTTATTTCTGTCCCTGAATACACATTTAAACTTACTTTATCACAGTTTAATTGAATAGATATTTAGTGACAATTTGCAGATCTGCTTGAGTAAAGTCTCTTGTTCGTCTCTTCTCCCCAGTAACTAGCGACAGGACAAAAGGAAACAGTCTCAAGTTGCACCAGGGGAGGTTCAGGCTGGACATTAGGAAGAACTTCTTCACTGTAAGAGTCATTAGGCATTGGAACAGGCTCCCCAGGGAGGTGGTGGACTCACCATCCCTGGAGGGGTTCAAAAAATGTTTAGATGTGGCGCTTTGAGACATGGTTTAGTGGGTTTAGTGGGCATGGTGGCATTGGGTAGAAGGTTGGACTTGATCTTTGAGATCTCTTCCATCCATAACGATTCTATGATTCTAAATAAATTGAGGGGTTTCAAATTTTTTCTAGCTATGTACACATACACAGGGTGCACACACCTCTTTGCACCTCAGAATATTGCTATTATTTGTCTTCTGTAATGACGTTGTAAAAATTTTCCTGTCTGGACTGTATTGTTATTTCCATAAAAATAATTTGGTCTTCTGTATCGGATCTGAATAATCAGTTCCCCTGCTACTGAACAAATTCATTCCAAAATCAACACCAACTAATTCATAGGGTATAGTTTAATGGATATAATTATGAATGTATGTTAGACATATATATGGCTATTTTATTATGCACCAGCACAATAATCTGATGTATTTAATAATTGTACAAGTGAATGCTAAATGGGACAAGTTATTAATCAAACTGTAAGTTTTCTGAGGGTTACCTGAAATCAAGAGAGAGGAAAGAGCAGCAAAACCAGACTTCTTTATACAGAGAGAAAAAAGAAATGTGAATCTGTGAGCAAAAAGTATGTATCAGCATACAGGCGTGAACACTGCACTGTAATGCCAAGAATAGTTTTCCTGTCCGATAATTTGCTTTCTTGGATGTATAGTCAGAGAGCAAGTCCCCAACAACTGGCAGCGCTCCATTTTCCAAGAGTCAATGACAGAAAAAAAGACCCATAGCATTGCACATGCATATGACTGAAGGACAGAGCTCACCACAATCAGAAGAGTGCTCCAAGTTGTGGACAAAATTTAATTATTCCCATGCAAAAATATCCACGCTTCTGTGGTTCATTCATACCGCTATCCCTGACCAGTCACAGCAGTAAAGCAGAGATTAGGCAGATACCCAGTTAAGAGAGAGATGACTGTAAACAGAAAATTGAGGCAAGCTATTCAAAGATGAGAGATGAACAGCC